AAATAACCATTTTTCAAGACTGGTTATCTGAAAAAAAAAAGTTCAAGAATTGTTAACCAAAAAGGGAAGAGAAAAAAGAAAAAAAAAGTCAAAATAAGAAAGCAAAAAACGAAATAATTGGAGAATTTATACTGCCAACAATTTTTGCTATTCTCTATTACATTAATTTGTGAAAATGTAAACCAAAAGAAAAAAAAGACTAATGTTTTTCTTTTCATAACCTTTTTCCTCATTTATCATATAGTTCTAAAACAGAAACTTATAATACATTTTATCCTGTTCTTTCTTTTTTCTACACCTTTTTACGGCAGACTATCTGTTATTAAACTGCACAAATCCGATGTATTCAATTTTTCAATCATTATTCTTTGATTAGTTTTTTTCCCTTGGAAAGATTCCGATACATACAACGATAAAGGATTGCACTTTAGAGAACAGTAAATGCCGGCAAAATTTTTTGTTAATTAACCGCTGTTATTTACTTCGTCCGGATTTGAACAGCAATAACGACGAAAGGCAACAAAAAACAACGACTATAATAGCCTCCCTTTTTTTTTCGTTATTATTAATATTCATAAACTATGAGTACATAAGAAGAAAAAAGGAGGAAATAAGATGGCGATGAAAAAAATTAATAAGAAGCACAACAATTCAGTTTGAAATCTGAAGCATGATACAAGACAAGAGTATCCAAGTTCAGCGACAATTTTCAACGATAACTAAGAAACTGATGACAGCATCAGCATCAGCAGTAAGAACAGCAGTAAAAAAAAAAGCAGTTTTTTTTTCGTCTCCAACAGTTTAATCTTTTGGGTTAACCGAAATAACCTTTTGGAAAATGATGACAATGATGACTGGGATTGCCCAATCAATTGCCAGATTATTTTAATTTTCCTATCAAAAAAAATAATTCTTTTTCTTTCCCCATTTTTTTTCTGTACAGTTAACTACCATCAACTGCAACTACACTACTAATTCTCCCCGTTTTCACTCTTCCCCCTCATCTCCTCTATACCCCTATTTAACAGCCTTTTTTTCTTCATCTATTCACCAAGCCTTCCAAAAGATTAGATTAGATTGCGTTGGATAATAATGATGATGATGATGACGACAACAACGATAGTGATGACGACAGTGATGGCGGTGACGATGATCAAAATATCTACCTATTATGATTTATATAACAAGTTCAAAAAAAAAATGTTCAACTTTCTTGATAAAAGAATAATTTACCATGAACACGCTCAATTCTGTGAGTTTTCCAGCTTTCTTCAAATAGCTATTGATTACAAACTTTTCAATTTTTATAGCATCTTTATATTTCAGCAACTCGAAGATTGAACCTAACTCTCAGTTGTAATTATTGCTGTCGTTGCTATCAATTTCTTTGGCCACTGCTATTTGAAGAACAGTTGCTAACAGGTAAATTCAAAAAAAAATTTTTTTCAAATAATTTTTACTGTCAACTAAAAGCAACAAATATTTCATGCATACCAGTTCTTTTCGCCTCTTTTTTTTTCTCTTGTCACATATATAACCACAAAAATAAACAGTATAAAACGGAAAACAGTAACTTACGTTAACGTAAATATACTGACGAACAAACGAACAATAAACGAATAAGATACAAAAAAAAGCAAGATCTGAAAATTCAATAAATAAGAAAAGAACTTCCAAGCAGTGTCCAGTAAATAGAAAGAAGAAAAAAAAATAAAGTAGAAAAGATGCTGAAATCGGCTTTAAATATATATACAAACAGAACAAATATAGATGAACAGCCAAAATAAGCAGCAATCAAACAAACAAACAGCCAAAACAGCAGCGATCAGACACCATCGTCAAACTGAGGTAACAATCATCGAATACCAATAACACTTCAAAAATTATCTTTTTTTTTCCTAAACCACTGAACAATTTCAAAATCAAAAAAAATACGTTCAAAAAATGGTGTCAAATGATAAAACCATAAGTTAAAACTAAATGATGAAAAAGGAAGATTTGCAACGAAAAATAACTACAATAAAACAGTAAGAGTAGCCGCAGAAAGTAAAGCGAATGGAGACAAAACAAGATACATCGTTGTACTCTAAAAGTAATAAGTTGACGTGATGGAGAAATTCTATTTTTTTTTT